GCTCACCCGCTTCTTGACGCCGATCGCTGCCAACTACGACTGGCTGCGGCACCTCCTCCCGCTCTTTGACCAGGTCTTTCCCCAAAAGCAGTGGCTCGGCGATCGCTTTGCAACCTACGATCGCACGCGCGCACGGGCGCTGCGGCTCGTCCAGTTTATGCAGCTCGTGCTCATCCTGCGGCAGCGCTGCCTCGAAAAGCACGTGGCCGGCGACGACGCGCCCATGGTGGCCGCGATCGTGAGCTTGATCGACGTGCATCTCAACGTCCCGACGGCCGCACCACCCGTCGCGCCGACCTCGCCCGTCGTCGATTGCGCCATTTGCCTCGAGGCGCTACTCACGTCGCCGCTGACGCTGCAATGTCACCACGGGTTCCATCCCAAGTGCATTGGCCCGTGGCTCGCTCAGCACAACACGTGTCCGCTCTGTCGACGTACCTGCCACCTTTCGTGCAGCGTCTGATCGGCCATCGTCTTGCCGTCCGCGCGATCGAAGCGCCTCTGGTTGTGTCCATGTCGTGTGTAGCAGTCAACACGTTTCTACTATCAATCAATCAATCAATCAATCAATCAATCAATCACACGAGGTCGCGTTGAAATGAAATGAGCAAAAACAACCGGTTCTACTATTAATACCGGTACTTCAATGAATACCGTCCATGGTCGACTGCTGTCAAGGCAGCAAACCGGCACGTCTACAACTGCCTGGTTCGAGCCACCCGATCTTCGTCGGCTTGTCGCTCCACACGAGTAAGTGACCGCGTACCTTGTGCCGCGCTGCCATCTCTTTCTGCCTAGACGACCAGGTCCCTCTGCCTAGTAGCACCGAACGAAGTGCGTCCGACTTGGTTCTCTAGCGTAAACTGCTCGATGGCAATCAAAGACCCACGTGAGCAACGCAGTATGTATGCATGAGCTGTATGCATGGCAGGCAACCGCACGAGCTGGTAAAGCAGGATGCGCATCTGAACGTGCCACGTATAAAGATGCTCTAACGCGGCCAAAGACGTCACAGAGCTACCGCTTCGGAGCCACGCACTGTGTGAAATCGATACGTTCACGACGTCGAATGCACTGGATGCGACCACCGAGAAAGGAAGCATGCATCCACCAGTGGCCGACTATCGATGGGTATGGCGACCGTTGGCGTTGGCATGCGCAAGAAGAGCGTGGAAGAAACCATCGTGTACTCCATATATCCTGCCGTATCCGTATGGTACTTCTCACGATGGCAGCGGACGGGGCTACCGCTTGACGACGCGCTGGCGGTAGTACTCGTCGACGACGCGCGTCGTGTCGGTCTCTTCGTGTCGCAAGAGCTGCTTGTGCAACGCAATCGTCTTGCGCAAGTAGACATTTGCCGCGTGCACCACGTTGCGCAGGTCGTCGCTTTGCAGCGCCTGCCATACGAGCGTCGGCATATATCTTCCAGCATCAAAGATCGATGCGTACCTCGGCCGTCGCGCCTTCGTCCCGCAGCAGCTTGTACGCGCGCTTGAACTGTCCTTGGGCCATTGCACCGTACGCCATGTTGACCCGGCATTTGCTAAGATCGACGTCGAAGGATGTCGATCGTATATGATCGTCGTACCTGGCCAAGATTGGGTCCTGGAGGCCTTGCGAGACGCAGATCTGGAGCTGCGCCATGAGCTTTGCTTGGTTCAAGTGGCGACAGAGAAAGTAGCCACCTAGAGCACGACAGGAGCATGAGAGGATGGGCGTCGTCGTCGATGGCATGTGTACGGACCGCCAAGCGTCGAGATGTAGGCGTTGGCCGTCACAAGCGCCACGACAGCATGCGTAAAGCGCGTCGCGCGGTAGCACCAGCTCATCGACAGCTTGTACAAGGATGGCACGAAGGCGATCTTGATGGCATCGGTCGTGCTCGCCGCCTTGTCGATGGCCGGGCACAGCGCGCGTAGGTAGCCGGCATCTTGGCTCGTCGAGAGGTAGTCGTAGAGATGCGGATCATGCACGCATACATGGGCGTCGACCGGCGCGGCCTCGAGGATCCGACGCTGGTCCATGGCTCGCAGCAAGGTCGAGGTTGCTCCAGCAGTGTCCGGTTACGTAGACTTGGTGTTTGTATCTGACGCAAGGCAACCGGATAGGGAGAATAACCTCATTTAAGCCTTTATCTACCTCCATGAAGGATGATTGCATGAAAAAGGCGAGCTTTTTTTAAATTTCTTGAAAAAGCATCCATATCTCTATCTCTCTATAAATAGTGTTTCTATAGCGACCTATATTGATCGTGACATCGGTATACTAATCGTAAATCAAAGGTAGGATTGTAATCCCTTTGAGACCTTTTCAAGATCAGAAAGTACGATATTCTCTACATGGCATTCGTTTCATCGCAAAAAGGAAATTCCCGACGCGATCTTGACCGTTTTGCAGCTAAATTTACGGAACGTGGCAGCCCAGTCTGGACCGCCAACGCCCAGCCGCAGCCCACGACGGTCCGCCTCCTCTTCCTGCCTAGCTTCGCCTCACCGTACGCGCCCATGAACCCCGCGAGCACCGAGCCGCGCCAGGTCATGCTCTTCCGCAAGAGCCTGCGCACGCTCTCGCTCTCGGTCTGCGGCTGCCTCGTGCTGCTCTCGATCGTCGGCTTCAATAAACTTGCCAAACATTCGGTCATGAGCATGGACCAAGTCGAGGCAACGACAAGCGACGGCTGCCTCCTCTTCCTCGGCCTGTCCTTTGGCACGCTCCTCTTCCTCGGCGAGTTTCGCTGGGAGCGCTTCTTCTTCCTCTTTGGCTTTCTGCGCTACCGCCTCGGGCGCACCGTGCTCTACGCTGTGTCGGGTACGCTGCCAGCTGGACGCCATTGATG